TATTAGAGTTGAATATAAAAATCTATTTTTCATAAACATTCAGTAATATCTAATCCTAAAGCATATGATGTTTGTATTTGATTTAAATAGAACGATAAAATTTTTCATTAATAATAATGTCGAGTCTATTTTCTATTCTTCAATGACAAGGTTTATTAAATCATCTAGAGTTAATTTATCGACATAAACAAAAAAAAAGAATCTTGTTCGTTTCAATTAAAACAAAATTTATTTTAATTTATGAATGTTTTTTTTTTTTTTCATTGAAGACTTTACGTGGTCATAATGGCGATCTTGAAAAACAAGTAGCTACATTAAAACGTCAACTTGAAGCTGAAACACTTTTACGTATTGATCTTGAAAATAAAAATAAAACATTACGTGAAGAACTTCAATTTAATCAACAAGTTCATGATACAGTAAATAATAAAAAAAAAAAAATTCTTATTATTTTATTATTTTTTTTGTTCAGGCTGTCGATGAAATTCGTCGACAAAAACGTGTTGAACTTAAAACATATGATGATGGTTTACGTCAACAATATGATGATCGTTTATTACATGAATTACAACAATTACGTATGCAAACTGATCAAGAATTACAATCCATACGTGATGATGTAGCTTCACAATATGAACAAAAAATAGATGATTTAAAAAATACAATACGTCGTAATGCTGATCAATTTGGTAATTATAGAACTGATGTTGTATCATATCGTGAACGTATTGATGATTTAACAAAAAATCGTGATGCATTAAATGATAAAGTTTTATTTCTTGAACAACGTTGTCGTGATTTGGAAGAACGTTTACATCGTGCACAACAACGACAAGATGAATTATTATCTGAACGTGAAGATGAATTACAACGTTTAAAACAACAAATTGAACAAATGCAAATTGATTATCAAAATTTACTTGATATTAAAATTGGTCTTGATAGAGAAATTGCAACATATAGAAAATTACTTGAATCAGAAGAAGAACGGTAAAACAAAAATATTTTTCATTATTTAATATTAAATTTTTTGTTTTGTTTTTCTAGACTTAATATATCAGGTAGTTCAAGTCGTAGTGAAAATTTATATTCTGATAATACTGGTATAACAACAACATCAAGTAGATTATATGAAACAAGTTCATATCCATCACGTAAACGTTTACGTTATGAACCAGATGAACGTTTATCATCAATACATAGTCATTTACTTGATGGTATTAATATAATTGATGATGATAGTTCACATCCAAAATTTGTTAAATTAGTTAATAATTCAAATCAAGAAATTAATTTATTTGGTTGGTTACTTAAACGTAAAGTTGGTACACAATCATATGAATATAAATTTCCTAGAGGAATGATTTTAAAAGCAGGTGCTACAACAACAGTAAGATAAAAATTTTTGTTTTTTTTTTTCATGTTCTAAATAATTATTTATTTATAGATTTGGAGTTCGGATGTTAATGATATATCAGTTGATCCACCAACAAATTTAAAATTACGTACAACTAAATGGTTTACAACTGGTAATGAAACTAAAAAAACAATTTTAGAAGATGCAGATGGACGTGTAAGTTAACACAAAATATATTTTTATTCAATTTTAATGTATTTTTTTTATTTAGGTTGTTGCTGAAAAAACAGTCACTATTAAATAAAAAGACATAGAGTTTTTAAGCTTGTTTTTTTTTTTTGCTTTATATGTAAAAAATATATTCATGATGTAGTTTGTTTTTTTTTTTTTTTCTTTGACCAAACTTCTTGGCATTTTGATATTATATTATTCAAGATGTTTGTCACGTATCAGTAGAAACAAGAAGATGGTATTTTGCACACACACTCATTTATAATCTTATTTTCTTTTTAATCTAAACTTTAGTTTGAGCATCCCTCATATTTGTTTTTTGTATTTCCGTTATTGTTTTCATTACGTATATTTGTTGTTTGTACGTTTCCATCCAGCATATTTGTTATAGTATTTTTTTTTCTTTTTTTTGTGGTTGTCTTCTTCTATTTAGCAAAATTAAACATTGCTTATAAATGAAAAATGAATTGATTATAATCATGTCCTTGATTTATGTCCTTAATTATAGGTAGGCGATGAATAAATGTCAGTTGAAAAATGATAATCATTGATGACACATGATAAGGTTTTTATATCGTTTACTAGTCATTTGATAGAAAAAAAAAATGGACAGGAGCATATATTGTATCTAGAATATTTTTTTTTTGATCTATACATATACGTCATTTTGAATTGATGATTATATTTAATAGAAATTTTCTTTGTTTCAATAAAAAACTGTCAATTGATTGAAGCAATATAATTCAAAATAAAATTGATGATAAGAATAGATAGTTGATGTAATGATTCATATTTATATGTGATAGATGTATTTGATTATACGTGATGATTATATTTAAAACAGTAGGATAGCTAGAAATATGGTCATTGGACAATTGCATATGGGATATTTTAAATAATGATATCAATTGTTCAACGCTAAGAATACATTTAAAAAGATATAAGTGATGTCGTTTTAATACGTTATATCATTTTGTGATCTAACCAAATAATTCAAAAAAATCGACTGACAAGTTGTTTCATTAAACTAATGCTTATTTTTTTCTTTTGGTCAAAACACTCGTTATTTTACTAAAATTCGCTGATGGTTGTATTTGTGCTTATTCATGCTTTTGAACGTCGAACAGTACATTTATGAAAAAGAGCGAACAAGTTATTCTCTTAGTTGAGAGTAATGGACTTCTCTCTTTAATAAATATAGTTTTTGTGATAGTAACCATAACTTAAAAATTCTTGACTAAGTCACTTTTAGCGACTGTTCATTTTTATATAAATTTATTCTTGGGTTCAATATCAATATTGTGAAGCAATGATTTTATTTAACTTTCAAGAAAGAAATAAAGTGTAACAGTGCAAAGATCAAGTCTATACAAATCTGACAATAGGAAGACTTTTATTATAATGAAAAAGACCATAAATTTGAGATTAATCGTCTATTCTTTTTTTATACAACCTTTTACCTTATCGTCATAAAAAAATAAAGAAACAACGTTTAACGATTTGTTGAAAACTCTAACAGCATTTAGTACGTATATCATAATTGTACAGACAACATTTTTGATGAAGTTTACATGATCATTATTCTTCTGGTTATAAACGTATAGAATGCTTATGATTTAGTGTAAAAATATAATATCAACAGTAGAATACAATGTCATACATAAAGAACAAGTAATACACTCCATAATAATAGACAAGCTCCATTATTTTCTTCTTTTCTCTCACCGAGATATCAACACAACCACACTACAACAGAATATAATGGCACTTTTGGTATACCCTACGCAAAAAATTCTGAGACACTTCAGAATAACTTGTCAAAATTATATATCTTATTCGAATTAAAGTTTATATCTACAGGGTGTCTGGAAAGTAGCTCCCTATGTTAAATTTTGTTTTACATAAGAAAGAATGTTAATGAATTGACTATGTAAGATTAAACGCAAATTTCATCTGAAGATTGCTTGAAAAATAATTTCTTATTTTTCATCGTTTATTACTTTTATACAAAGCATATATGTTATAATAATTTTTTCATGCCTTTGAAATGCAATATCGTCACGGCTATTCTTAAGACATTATCGCGTAAACGTATTACACACACACCTCAAAATAGAAAAAAATTATTACAATATATATGCTTTGTATAAAAGTAATAAACGATGAAAAATAAGAAGTTATTTTTCAAGTAATCTTCAGATGAAATTTGCGTTTGATCTTACATAGTCAATTCATTAACATTCTTTCGTATGTAAAACAAAATTTATAAAGCATGCTTCAAAATAGTAAAAAAAGTAACACAATATCTGTTCTTATTAAAGAGAAAACAAGAATTTAAAATAGGGATTTGCTTTCCAGACATTTTAATTTAAAAAATTATTTGAGTTTGTAATCTGAACTTTAAAACTTTTATTTCCTCCCAAAACGAAAAATATTCCTCGTTCTACATCATTTCTAATAACTGAGATATGAATGGATTTTTAAACATTTAGAGTGTTCTAAGTACACTATACCTTTTTAGAACAGCTAATGTGAAATATATAGAATGCATCTAAAATCAGAATATAAACCTCTACTACTATCGAAACGTCTTAACTTCATAAATGTTTATTGTACGACATGCTATCAGCTGACAACGATCCACAATAAGAGATAATGTTTTTTTTTTCGCATATACAATGAATCCAAAAACTGTAAGAATTCTATTTCAACGTTAATAAGAAACGGGCCATAATATGCGTTATTAGAAATATCAAAAGTTGTAGTTTCTTTTTACTAATCTTTAGCATCATCACATTATATCGAAACTAATATTTTTTTTAGAATACTTTTGACGTAAGCACTATCTGAGCTCGTGCTTGAATAACAACATTTATGGAAGATACTATTGGCTTGAAAATGTTGGATAATTTTTTTTCAGCAAAAAACGAAATTGAAAAATGATTAAGGTAGTTGATTATGATTGAATCACTTCTCATAATGTAAGACAAAAGAAGTAAAGAAACTTGAAAAAGCAATTCTCGTGTCTCACAGAAATAGATTTTATTTATTTTTGACGAAAAGAATAAGAAAAAAATTTAAATGCAGAAAACTATGTGACAGTGGTTAAATAAAAAAAAGTATATTTAAGTTTTGACGACAGACTTTGATGAGAAACAAGTTATTATTTTTGTACAGAAGTATCAAGAAAAAAAAATAGATAAAACACAAAAGATATTGAAAGAAAACTGTTCAATTCAAAAATAAATTTATGTCGATATGATTTTAAAATAACTGCAGATGTTGTTTCAAAAATAGCGATCATACACATGGCTTATGATAATTGGTAGATGTTAAGTTAATCGTAGATAAGAATGATTTATTTGATTTTCTCTTCGTATGTGTTTCAATTTATTTGATAAATTGTCTGATGTTATCTATTCACCATATTTTCTTTTTTTGTTGTTGCAGATGAATGAGGCACATATGACTGGAATATATAAGTATTTGTTGAATATATAGCAGCTAAAGGACTACACTGTCCTGAATATATAAAATCAACAGATGATTTTTCATGATCATGGGATGCTTGTTGTTGTGGAAGTAAATTTGGGATTTTAATTGATGTCAATTCTGTATATGTTCGAATTTCATTAATGCCTAAAAATAAGTGAAAAACTAATATAAAAATATTTTCTTTACAACTCAATCATAAAACACTTTTTTTTAAATTTCTAGCTGATGTTCTCACAGTCGTTGTCTGTCATGATCATTGTTAGTACCAGTGTCATTCATAAGGACATTTGAAACATTTTCACTTGATGGATGGACTCATTTTAAGCATGAACTTAAATAATAGAAAACAGATCAATTCAATACTCTAGAAACACCAACAATTGATGTCTTGGATAATCATTTATACCTTGTGTCAAGTGACAATGCTGTAAAATAAGACAATGAATTAAATCATAAATCATGATTATTCGACAAATTTGTGTTCAGACCGAACTCTGAATAGAATGATGGAAAACTACAACACATAATATTACAATAAATAATAGATCTCAACTCTATGTCAGCTGTGAAAACATAATACCGTAGAAAGTCAATTCGATTTGAATATGATGAGTTTGATGTTTCAATTAAAATTGGTGTTTGTTTCTTGTTACTATAAAAAAAAATGATATGATAAGTTAAGTCTGTCAGATTTTATTTCACCCAGGTCGAAAGTGAGCCATCGGATTCTGTCTCAATCCGATGAATTTCGATCACTGAATTCGATAGAATTCCGATTGTCGGAATCCGATCGAATCTCAATTGATTTCCATAATTTCCGACGCATTCCGATGAAATCCGAAGGACAGATCCGATAGGATTCATTTGTCGAAATCCAGTCGGTTCCATCAAGTTCCGAGAAGTTAGTCGTCGAGTTGCAGTGGAACATATGTTTTACATGTAAATTTATTACTAATTGAATGCTTTTTAGATTCCAACGAAAAAAATGAACTCCGGCATGCTGATGAATGAGCAGAATGAAGAAACATTATTACAAAATGATTACTGAAGCACTATTTTCCAAATAAAACTGGATGATTTCTTATGCTTAATATTTATCTCGTTACTACAATAAGAATGAAAACATCAAATCGATTAGAGTGTTGCACGAGATTAGTATTATAAACATTTAACTGAGTACAAGACTTGAACGCTCAATAGGCATCAAATACTTTCGATATGAGCAGTGTACATGAGCAAGAGTTATTTAGGCAAAAAGAATTTCTCATATCATAATATTTTAACTATATCAATGTACAGAATACTGATCAGTGGCCTTTTTTTCGTTATGGTATGCTCCTATTATTTGTACTCGTGTGCTTTGTCTGAGGCATCAAAATTATTTGGCAACAGTTCTTCTCTATCGCTTATTAATTACATGGCAAGCATCTTTTCTTTATTCGTTTTGCTATCGACTGAGGGTTGATGTTCTCTCGTGTTAGTTACAGAGTGAGACAAAAACGTAGGTACTTGCTAAAAAAATGTCTTCTTCTCTTTTATTACAGATCTGAAAAGTCTCTAATTACGATATAAAATATTTTGCAACCACACGAATAACACCCTAAATTTTCAAAACTCTATCCCTATCACTAGGGAAGATATATATAGCTGGTACTATAGAGAAGCTCTTTTTGTGTGATCCAATAGAATTTCTTATATATAAGGGAATACCTAGAATAGTAAGTTTTTATCATAAATACAATGTCAAACAATACAGTAATTTATATTTTCATCTTATTATAGTCGTTTTCTATTGGTTGAAGGATCTTCACTATTAATAACATACCATAGTCTTTCGCAGCATCGAACTCATCCAGCTTCAGCACCATTACAACTTGAGTGTCTTCCATATGAGAAAATTCATCGAAATGAAAGACCGATAATCAGTAACAATCATTCTTTGAGACACAGCCAATTAGAGATGACCATCTTTCCACCAGCATATTACAGATATCCAATTAACCTTAATTCAACTGTACTATGTCAATATTTTCTCATTTCATTTTCTTTCTTTCCACTCTTTTTTCATGCCTTCATGCCAACCTTCAGTACTATGTATTTTTCGGTCATGTGAACAGAATCTTCTCTTTAGTATGAGCCATATCATTTTCCTTAAGCTAGTGCTGGGTTTATGAACATTTAAGATCCTATTCATTTATTTGCAAAATATCTTCTATCCTACTTAGAGCATTCAAGAGTTTATAATCAGAGAAAAAAAAAGAATTTCTAGCAAATACTAAAACTTTTACCTTAATCCATATGTGTACGGAACTCAGATTATAACCATCGGCCTGTCAGTTGAAGATTATAGTGATAAGGATATAGACATAAGGGTATAGGTGCAAGGATAAAGGCATAAGAGTATAGGTGTAAAGATATGGATATGATTATGAGGATATGGATGTAAGGTTATAGTTTACGGATTATTAATATCTTTGCATTGTGTTTAATGACTATATCTGGGTTTCTCTCGCGTTTGTTTTGTCAATAAGATGATAAGAAGGGCAGACAATGGATTTTTTACCATTTTAGACAAAAATCTTAATATTTATTATATATTTAACAGATGATAGTGAATCAGAAAGAGAACAACCACTGAAGCCTAATGATTAAAATCCGATTGGATCCTGTCGGATTTGTTAACTTTCGTTGCAGGATCCGATAAAACCTTATCAGATCCTTTCATCGGTACTTGTCGAATCCGATAAGATCCTTTCCAAGTTAAATGTCTGTCGGATTCAGAGTCACTGGATTCTGGCCTCAATCCGATAGAATTCGACTATTTCCGACATTGAATCCAATCGAAGCCGGCAAGATTCAATGCATTGTTTTTTAACTCATAACTAACACGATTTTATTAGTTTTTATATCTATTTTAATATTATACTCGAACACTTAGATTTCGTATCTATTAACCATGCTAATAACAATCATTTAGAAATAAATTTCATCAACAGTTTCTTTTCATATGTATGCTATTATTTATATGATAATTATATATTTTAAGGTCTAACAGTCATAGATCTTGTCGAAAAAAAAAATAACTTAATTGTAAATGTTATCATTACAAGACTTTGTTAACATGGATGTGGAATCTCTTTTGTAAAAAAATTTTTTCTTCATTAATATGTGTTTTTCAATACAATTCATACTACTAAATCGAAGTTAAATTACTCGATGATGATTATTGTTTAACGAATGTGAAAAGCTTCTAAATCTCTATTGACTTTACTTTGTTTTTTTCTTCATATATTTTGTGTTAAACTTAGCTTTGAAATATTTCTATTTGACAGACTTGGACTTTACATTGAAAATTTTCCGTTCAGTTCTGATTACATCGTATTCATTTTTTTTCTTGTTTGAGATATTGTTTTTCTACTAAATACGGCATTTTTCTTGCAAAAAAAAACTGAACAAAAAGGTATTCTTATCTATGCGTGAGTATATAGCAACAAGGTAAGAATAATTTCGGTATATGAATTACAGCTGCATAAGAAACAAAATTATTTCGTTTTCAATAATGATGAATGAAATTATGTCAAAAATATTTTCTTTATTACACTTTGTGTTACAAATAGACTTCAAATGACGCTTTTCGAAATCTTATACATTGGTGTAAAGTAATATACAAGAGAAGAGAAAAAAAAAACGTTGATTTGCAGTATTTGAAGCCATATATTTAGGTCAATAAATAGACGAATCTCCGATTTGGATACGAATAATTATTTAAAAGATTTTGAAATTGCATAATTTTGGAAATCTCATCGAACAAGCCTAATCATATTGTTAAACATAAATCGAAGTATTTCATCATAAAAAATTCCTCATAGATTCACAGTGATTATATGGAGTCTCTATTGATTTTTTCATGTAGTATGTCATGCTATCAAAACACTATATCTACAAGTAACGTTCGTCGGTTCGACTCACTTGACCCTTGACTGTATCAGACAGAAGTATACAAGCCTCATCCACGGACACCCGGTTATGAAACCGCTGATTAAAGGAGAACTTATCACATATGTCGGATTGACTGAATTTTCAGTCTGAAAAATCGAATCGGTTGAAAGTCTAATATTAAAAGTACGAGTATCGAACACTTAGCCAACGCTTTTTATGACGTTTCACCTTTCACTCTGACAAAAACAGACAAAAATTTATTTTATTTCATATAACCCTTCCTACACCTGAGAAAAAATTATTTTCTCAAAAAACCTTTTTTCCTGAACCCAAAAAAAGATCAAACTCAAAATTTTGAGAAACTGACTTCAGATTCGGATTCTCCCATCTCAATTTACTTTCGCCAACCTTTACAAAATACCGTCATTTTCTCAAAATACTCTTCTCTTGACTCTAAAAAATTCATTCCAAAACTTTGAGAAACCGAATAAAAACTACTAACAACAGACTATCCAAAGTCGTTCAATCACGTTTTTTTCTAGTTGCTCCTGCAATTTGTTTGTAATTACCTCTCATGGGGTAATTACAAACAACGGCTGTATAGCGTGGGATAATTACAAACTCCCAGCTATTCTACATGGGACCACTATAAATCGGTTTTTCTCATCAACCTTACAAGATTTTTTAGTAATTTTTTCATAGGTCGATAGAAAACGTAATCTTTTACTAACGATGAGAATATTATCATAAGATTAATCAAAATGTTAAAATACTTATCGAAATAGTAAATTGAAAAAATTTATGCAATTACTCCAAGTGGGCTAATTGCATAATCATCCAGAAAATGTGGGGTAATAGCAAACATCTATATAAAATGACGTCGTTTCATATAGATGTTTGCTATTACCCCACATTTTCTGTATGATTATGCAATTACCCCACTCGAGGTAATTACAAACAAATTGTAGGAGCAACTAGAAAAAACATGCTTGAACGACTTTAGATAGTCTGTTGTTAGTAATTTTTATATGAGCTTGTAGAGCTGATATTCAGCTACCTGTCAGGAAAAAAATTCCTAAAATTGACCGAGTTATAACAGATACAAGTCAAAAGAATGATTTTTCATTTGCAATTACTCCACTCTACTCTATTTATTTTGGTCAGAACTAAACCTTGACTTCTTGAAATGCTTGAGAAAGGGCAGACTATACAATTATGAAGCAATGACAACAAATTGATTTTCCTCTTCTAAATTTTTCTTGCATTTTGCATGTCTCCATGGACATTTTCTATTGTGATTAGCTAACATTTTTAATCCTTTGATACGAAGTAAAAGTTTGGGAAGTGTACTGCGCCTGTGAAAGTATCTGCTAGACGTCGATTAGCTTTGATCAAGGTACGGTCTTGTATTATATATAAGATAGCCGGATTTGACTTGAGTTCAATTTCGAAAACTCGTACCCGTGCAGGACATCGGCTCTTCATTTTAAGACCATGAAAATATAAAGATCGATAGTTAGAAAACCGATTGAATCAGTTTTAAGTTTGAATTTAATCCTCAAAAGATATTTATACAAAAAACGAAATTTCCTTTTTTAAATGCTATAAATAGCTGTTTATTTACTGATTGGATTTTTATCTTATGAGTCATTATATAAGAGGCAAAAAACACAAAAGAAACTGCGTATATTCTTGATTTAAATTGAATTTGAAGTAAGTAATACTTTTACATATATCTTCAAGTAACCAATTATATTTACAAATTACGAGATGACCAATTTTAGCATGTTTTGTATTTTTTTTAATATACTGAAATATGTATCGATAGGTTTCTTTCTTTATATTGATTGATGATTGTATTTCTGGATAGAATGTTGATTTTAATTGACTAGCGCCCTCATTCTATTACCTGTCAAACATTTATAAATAATTGGTCGTTTTATTTACTCCAATCCAAATTAAAGAAGTTTTCCTTAGCTAATAATATTTGTAAGAGAACAGAGCATACTGGTATATGAAAAATGTTTGATATTGCGTCACGGTTGAGTACGCATACGTCTTGTCTTCAATTAAGGTCATGTTTTATATATATGTATATGCATAAAAAAATGATCTGAAAATTCGATCTTTAATCACTTGTCATTGTATTAGATGATATAGTTTATTGAATTAGTTTTATTACTTTTTTTTGTTTGTTTTTTTTTTTCAATAGATTTTTTTACAATGTTCTTAATAAAAAGCCGAGCCAATCGACAACCTTCATGTGATGGTCTTTATTTTTTATATTTTTTCTTTATATTACATATATGTACAGCATTTTTAACAATAATCAGTGCACTTAATAGTGATTTGAAAGACAATGAAGGTTTTAATTGATTTTTCTGTTTTTATTTTTAATTAATTTTTTTATTTTTAATTAATTTTTAGCAATTATTCAATTATCCATGGATTCAATTCATGTTGTCGAATCTTCAGATCATCAAATTGTAGTAAATTTCATATTCAGTTTTTTTAAAAAAAAATATCTTATTCGTTTTCTTTTGAAGAATATTGAAGAAAATATAAATGATAATGAAGAAAAAGAACTTCTTACGGCTCTATTAACATCTTATGATGATGAAATAGAAACAATTAAAAAAATTGATAATGAAATACCTATAATAACTACTTCAACATCAATACGTTTTATTCCTTCTTTATTAAATTTTGCTGAACAGTAAGTTTTATTCAATTGAAAAATATCATAAAAAAAGAAAAATATTTAGATCAATAGCAATACCTCAAATGCAAACAGTTATTATAATTAATGATGATTTAGAACCACTTGAACTTTATTCATTAACAGCAACAACTAATCAATTTTATTCATCATTTTTTAAACAAATTATTCTTTCATCTTATGGTGATAAAATATCAATTAATATTTATTATTTACCAAGAACAATTGGTATTACAAATAGTTTATTTACAATAAAAACAAATCGTGGAAATTTTTATTATAATGTAAATAGATAAATTTTTGATTTTTCTATATATAATATTTAATTATTTAAAGGTTAGTGGTATTGGTAAATTAAATCCATTTCGTTTACGTCCATTAATAAATGCAAATATACCATTGAATTCTACATATGAATATACAATACAATTTTATAATCCATATAATTATTCATTAGATATAAATGAAATTTATACAAGTGATGAAAATTTAATTATTGAATTTTTAACTAAAAGAAATATAAAAAATCGTATAACAAAAACATTTGAATATTATGAACAATGGCGTTTAAAACCTTATGAAATAAAATCAATTATTAAAATAAATTATTTTGCATATAAATTAAATAAATTACATGCATATATTTGTATTAAAACAAATTTTAGTGATATTATTATTATACCGGTGGAAATAAATGTTTTTAATCGTTCAGGTCTTTATTCAAATGTTGATTTATTAGAATTTACTAATCATAGATTTATACTTTCATCAAATAAACCAATAACAATACCAGTTTATGTATTCAATAATGGTTTAAATCCGATGATCATCACTGTAAGATAGTAGTTAGAAATCTTACGAGAAAATGTTTCTGAACCTACGCAACCTCATTTGGCAGGAATATCCATCCCTGTAAAAATAGGAATTTCGATCTGAAACTTTGCCTTTAGATAGTTTTGATAATACTTAATATGCTCCGAAATTTTCACTTACAATGGAGGTATGTGTATTGATGAGCGAAAAAGTGGCACATGTTCGGGTCAAATGAAAGCTCTCAACGCCAAACTAACAAGGTTAAAATATTAGCGGCTGTTGGCTTGCCTAGAGGGAGATATTTAACTTTTAAGTGTAGGCGTAAAAATGAATCAGGAAAGGTTTTCTCCACTATTATAAGGACAAAACATAGTGTTGTTCGGGGCGATTAGGGAGTTTGTAGGGACCCTCTTTCATATGGCCCGAACAACATTATGTTCTGTCCTTACAATAGTAGAGTGAATTTTTCGTGTAGGTCATGGAAACGGTATTTTCTATCAATCACTAAAAAAATTCACTCCGCTATTATAAGGACAAAACATAGTGTCGTTCGAGCCGATTATAGGTTTGTAGGGTCCCTCTTTCATATGGCCCGAACAACACTATGTTTTGTCCTTATAATAGCGGAGTGAATTTTTCTAGTGATTGATAGAAAATACCGTTTCCATGACCTACACGAAAAATTCACTCTACTATTGTAAGGACAGAACATAATGTTGTTCGGGCCATATGAAAGAGGGTCCCTACAAACTCCCTAATCGCCCCGAACAACACTATGTTTTGTCCTTATAATAGTGGAGAAAACCTTTCCTGATTCATTTTTACACCTACACTTAAAAGTTAAATATCTCCCTCTAGGCAAGCCAACAGCCGCTAATATTTTAACCTTGTTAGTTTGGCGTTGAGAGCTTTCATTTGACCCGAACATGTGCCACTTTTTCGCTCATCAATACACATACCTCCATTGTTAGAACGGATGCTTTCTTGTTGAGATATTCAAAATCCAAAAACCAACTAAATTTTGCTAAAAACGTCAACATTCTGTATCTCGCGAAAGAAACAAAAGTTATTCCTGAAAATTTTGAAACTTCCTAAACACTACTAGGGCTATGTATGAGCCAAGTTTCATGTTAGAAATACATTGTTTTGATTCTTCTATGAGGCTGAATGGCTCACCGAAGAAATTTTTTACACAATCTATCAGTAGATCGGTTAAAAGATTCTAAAACGTTGACATTGAATAGCTTGATGATAGGCTTAAGAGTGTAACGTAAAATAAACTACACTATATGTCGCATTTTCGAATAGATACAACTTTAGGGAAGAAAGGTGTTATTGAAAAATGTCATCAATCCTAAAAGGTGTTTTGCTACACTTGACAGCCATCTGAATACTACATTTTGGTCTAGGCATGGCCTCGAAAGTCATATCAATCGAGAAAAATATACTTTGATTACAATTATTTAAATGTCCCTTGGAAAGGACATTCGGCTCTTAAGGGTTAAATTTATTAAGATTTTCTTCATAACATATCATTTTCAAAGTTCAAATATTTCATAAATCATCCAAAAGTGAGATACAATTATATTTTAATACAATAAATTTTCATGAGTTCATAAATTTGATTCTGATCAACGTTTCTTAAAGAATTATTTTTATGATCATTTATTAATATATCTGAAGTCTAAGCTTTATTTTTTAACTTCTTTTAGGATGTTCGTGTAACACCCGAACATAAGAATTATATAACTATTCATTTTAAAAATCTTCCAATTCCTTCTGATATTCATCGTTTAAATCAAATTGCTGATATAACTATTCATCCAAATTTAATTTCTAATAATATTCATTATATAAATGGTTATATTCAAGTATATTCATTATCAAATAATGAAGAATTTGTATTAGAAATACCTTTTCATGAAACAATATTACATGGTTCACTTCATTATAAAAAAGAAGATACGTTTTTTTATATTTCATCATCTAACCATGAAACACTTAATGATAATATAAAACAATGTCAATCGATTAAACTTCTTAATCAATATAATATACCAATTTCTGTATATAATATAACAGTGAATAAATTAGAATTACTTTCACAATTTGTTAAAGTAAAAACAAAAATGAATTAAAGAAAATAATTGAAATATTTGTTTTTTTGTTTTGTTTCTCTACAGATCGAACATCGTTTATCATTTTTTTATTTGTATCCCGAACAATGGAGTGAATTATTATGTATAACTCATCTTAAACAATCATTATCATCTGTACCATTTACTAATATTCAAACATCTATTGATATTCATACAAATATTTCAAATTTTATTATTCCGATTTATTTATACAATGGATTTCTTAGTGTAAGACATTTTTATTTTTTTTTATAACAAACGAATTATTGAAGTTCGTTTAAATAACTATTTTACTATAAATATATTGTTGATCAAGTCAATATGAATGAAAAATGGCTTTTTTTTTCATCAGTCTGAATGGTCTATTTGATAACAATCTATCTGTTTTATTCTCTAACACATTTTTGTTTTTTTTTTTCTATTGAAGAAAAATTAAAAACCATTATGTGACAGAAAAAAATGAGAATTCGTTATATTTTTTTATAAAATAAAAGAAATAGATTGTTATCAATTAAATCGTTTAGATTAATGGAAAGAGTTCGTATTAACCTTTTAAAATTTCAGTTGATTAACAATATATTATACTAAAATAGTTTATAAAAGAACTTCAATGATTTGTTGAAATGAAAACAATCACAACTTTTACAGAGTATTTTTTGTACATAGTGGTAAAAAGTCGGTATTGATTAATTTTTGAAAAAAAAGAATATTAGGCGCTAAAATTTCGGGAATACTAGTTTCAGATATCGATGGATTGAAGGCATGACAAACAAAAGAAAATGTTATTTGGTCGAGTGCTAATTATACTTGAATGTTTCATGATTACTTTCCCATTTCTCGTTTCTATCCAAGCGTACAAACTTTTCAACAAGATCTTCTATTCTGTCTTAATTATTTTAAAAATTTTTAATCCAACAGATTTAAAAGATTATTAAAGTTTTAAACGAAAAGAAATTATGTTGATATTAATCTTTACATTTTTCTTACGAGAGAACGTTTTCAACTGTCAAATCTCTTTTGAGTTCGGAAAGATAGACCTTAGTCAAGTATGAAAAACCTCAAGAGATTAAATCCCATTAGACCTTATGTCCAGAGTTATAGGCATTTTACTGGAAATTTAGTCTAGGGCATGATATATACGAACAAATTGAATGACGGCATTTCAGTCTGAAATTTTGCTACAGACAGGCCTATTGATGATTAGAAGATTCTGAAAATTTCAGCTCAAAAGAATATTTCCTTCCCGCGATATTAAGATCCCAAAAAACAGAAAATCCTAGCATTTGTTGTCCTATGTGAGTCATTTTTGGGATTTTAATATCTCGAGAAGGAAATATTCTTTTGAGCTGAAATTTTCAGGATATTCTAATCATCAATAGACCAATCTGTAGGCAAAATCTCAAACCGAAATGCCATCATTCAATTTGTTCGTATATACTATACCCTAGGCTAAATTTCCAGTAAAATGTCTATAACTCTGGACAAAAGGTCTAATGGGATTTAATCTCTTGAAGTTTTTCATACCTCACTAGAATCTATCTTATGCACAAAGTCCGAACTCAAAAAAGAATTTGACAGTTGAAAACGTTCCCTCATTAGCTCAAACTCCTGAAAACTAAGCATAATTCGAGGTAATTATCTTAATTAAAGTTCATCCAGAGTGTGTGTTCTTAAAAAACTAAATAGTTTCAAGTAAAAAGTACACTGCTTATTTCTTCTCACCTAAAAATTAAATTAAATTCTTATAATTTTCTGTTATTTAGGTTAATCTCTTAACTGATCATACAAATGGTGGTATTAGACAATATGAAAAAAATCCATATGAACTATTCATAACAAGTATACCAATGAATACATCTCGTAAAGTAACATTTGTATTAACAAATACAAATCCAATTGATATTGAAATAAAAAAATTTTATTCTACTTTATCAAAAAATATTGATATTGAACTTGATTATATGACATTATTAAATGGAAATAAAACAAAAATAATCAATAAAAATATTAATATTTCTCAAGTAAGATATTAGAAATTCAAAAAAGAACAAATGATATATATATTTTATTTAAAGATGGTTATTCCTGAACAACATCAAGCTATTTTTTCATTAACAATTAATGGAACAAAGTTACCGAAATTTTATAATGAATCAATTACATTTGAAACAAATTATCAAGTAAATTTATTTGATTTATTTATTTTTATTTTTTTTTTGTGTATAGACTCTTAAATTAGATGTGAACTATCAAATAATCAATGGTTCACTTGAATTTATGAATAAAACACCAATACATATCGATGTATTTCCGGTAAAAAACGAAAAATATTTATTTTGAATTTTGAATCTTTTTTTTGTTTTTATAGAATCGTCTTGGAACAGCAGATATATATCTACAAAATAAATTTGATGAATCAATTAATATTACACGTATAGATTTTATAACATATGGAATTTGTTTTTCATTTACTTGGAAAAATACATCAATTGGTCATGTTGAACTTCAATCAAATAAAATACAACAAGTATGTATAACAAAATTTGTTATTTAAACAGTTAATTGAAAATCATTTTTCTATGTAAATCTGTTTCGCTATTCGAAGTCTCCTATCGACCTGTGTTACATTATATTAGCCGGAGTCCAGCTTACGAACTCCAGTTAATATAATGTAACACAGGTCGATAGGAGACTTCAAATAGCTAAACAGATCTGATGCACACTTATGACATAATCTGGAAGTACGGTATTTTCGCTTTTCCCCCATTGGAATAAGTTCATTTTACAAAAAAAATAACTATTTACTGATATGTTGAAGTAGTTTGTTTTATATTTGTTAACACTTGTCTGATGACAATTATATTATTGAACTGAGCTAGTGATCATAATAGTCTATTATTATTTAAGACGATGTCACAGTGACGCAGCCAGGGGGATTATGGGGATCGACCCCCCCCCCTCCCGAAAGACCGAAATGCCTGGAGGGGGGTACAGGCTAATTCGTTTTTGCTAGTCAAAAAATGTCTTTTTCCTATTGCGGTCCCCCCTCCCAAAAAAATTTCTGGCTGCGTCACTGCGATGTCATTGCAACTAAAAAAAAAGAACGTTTTCATTCCCTGATGATGTAGCAAGAATTGAAAACAAGACGTTTTGATAAAGGAATGATAAATCAGCTTCTAGATCTTGTTTAATCTAAATATCAAAGTAAATCATACCTTATGCAGTATAGATTTCTTAATAAACAAACAAAAGAAGTTATTTAACAACCGAATGGTTGTCATTATATTTTAAAAGTTATGATTTTAATATCGAAAATATTTGATTTGATTCAATTACATTGAGTTATTTCATTTCACTCAATATAACAAAGAAGAATTTGAATTTCTAATTTATTCTTTCAAACAAAATAAAAATTAATTTTGCCTAATTATATTATTAGTTTTATTTTAAATTGATTATTTTATTCTTATTTAATTAACTTAGATTGGTACACTTAATTTTGATATGACTCCATTATGTAAAAATATTCATACTCTATCTGAATCAACTTGTTATTGTGGTTTAAGTCATCATCGAGAATTTAAACAACGATGGGATGAACATATATCAGCATTGAATACATATGAACTTGATCATATACTTGTTAATCAATTTCGAAATCTTTGGAATGAATGGACAACACTTGTACAACAACAACAGTAAGAATTTATTTCGTTTTTGAAATAGTTTTTTTTTTTTCGTATTTAGAGTTCAAACAAATATTTGGTTATATACTGATCGAGTTAATATATCATGGCCAGTTACAATTGGATTTATTTGGCCATCTGTACTTGAATATATGTCATCATCATTATCTCGTACACCAATGATTCTTGATTTTGATGTTATATATATTAATATAACTAAAGTAAATTGTTTATTATTAATATTCTAGTCTTTCACTTTTTTTTTTATAGACACAAAATATTATTATAACAAATCCATCTTCAGATCTTGTTACTTATTCCGTTGAACTTCTTAATAATTATCCAAATAATTCAAAATCAATGATTAATGATCAAGTTTTTACTATTTCAACAGTATGTTTTAAAATTAGTATATTTAATATTTTTTTTTCACATTTAAATAAGATTATAAAGAGTTAACTTATACGAGTTAGAGAAGAAAATCATTCTTTTTATATTAAATACCCAGTGTTTTATCCAGAGGGGTGCTCGGGGGGCCGCGCCCCCCCGAAAATCGAGTTCGCCCCCCCGAAACTTGTGATCATCGTGCTATGAACACGTGGCTTGCCCCCCCCGAAAATAATTTTTCGCCCCCCCGAAATTCCAAATCGCCCCTCCGGAAAAAAAATCCTGGATAAAACACTGTAAATACCGAATTACTTCAATACTCGATCATAGACTCAACTAGTGTCCTGCACCTACATAACCTTTCAAAACTAGAGCGGAATATCTGTACATTATAACCGAATGAACTTAGACCGTAGCTAATCAAAATTTAATAGATACTATATTAGTTACACTTCGTCTTTAAACTTTTATTTTATACTATTTAGTTTCTTTCATAGATAGCAACAAAAAAGAGATGATATCAAATTTTATAATAAAGCAAGTAATTCATGATTCATCTGATATCTTTCTGCTTTCAAAATCTAATTAATTTTGCTAAATATATATTTGCTTAATGCTAAAGATCATAAATATATGAACGAACTTGAATCGACATTTTTTTTTTCAGAATCATACTTCGGATCGTATGCTAGACATCCTATTCAGTTGTAGGACACGAAATCTGATGGAATCTGCCAAGTTGAAATTCACAATGTAGATTGCTAATGATAAGACACTATCTCGGATTGAATCATTGCCCATGAAGACTTGTCGCCACTAATTAGCGAAAAAAAAAAATATAAATGATTAATAGACTTTAGTAGACAAGGCTAAATTGTTCGCTTTGATAAGATACAAACTTATGAGGGAACATTCTCAACTGTCACATCGCTTTTAAGTCGAGCATATGCGAATTATGTAGATCCTAATGATCTATGAATTCTCTGAAAAAAAAAGTTCGTGCCGCTAGTTTATTATTGCTGAGATACTGCCGTTTTACTGTATGTTTAAGAAAAGAGAGCTGTGATCACACTTGGAAAACTGAATTTTGAATTTCAATTTTAAACTTTGCATAGATATAGGGCTCAATGAGAATACTTTATTGTGAAAGTTTCAGCTTTTTTTCGTTGCACCTATCCTAACATACAATTATCATAAAATTGCTTATATACCCCCCAGCGGATCCGATGTTCTTATCTCAGACTAGGAGCAACCAAAAAATCTGAAACATTCACAATAAACTGTTCTCATTGAGGCCTATATACATGCAAAGTTTCAGGCTGAAACTCAAAACTCACTTTTTCTGAGGGGGACCACGGCTTTTTCCGAAACATATAGTAAAAATGCTATATCTCAGCAGCGACACGAACTTTTTTGGAAGAATTCATAGATCATTAGGACCTACATAGCCCCCATAAAGCCAACTCAAAAGCGATGTGAATGTTCCCTTGTTAGAATTATTTGAATATATATTTAATAAGAAAATGATTAAATTCTTTATATTTTGTGTTAAAATTTTTCAAACTAATATTTGATAAATATTTACTCTCTTGTTTTTTTTTTAGACATCAAAAGAAATCAAATTAATCAATGATATTTATAATTTTAATCTTTTACCTAATGAACATATAACATTTACTATATCGTTTCAACCAATATTATTAATCAAATATGAAATGTATCTTATTATTCGGTATGTTTTAAATAAAATATTTTCATGAATTTTTTTTTGTTTTTTTTTAGAAATAATTTAACAATAATTGAATCAATACTTTTACGTGGTGAAGGTGGTATTGGTAGTTTACAAGTTGGAAATCGTCCAGCTGGTTCATCACTTATTCCAATTGTATTAAAAATAGATGAAAAACAGTATGAACTTTGTTCAAGTAAAATAAATATTCACTTTAAAAAAAAAAGAAAAAAAAAACGAATTTTATTTTTTTATTTTTTAAGTGGATAACAATGAAAATCCATTATTACGAAAACTTATAACACTTCATAATATTGGAAATATGAAAACAATTATATATGATATATCATTTGGAAATTCAAAATGTTTTGGACAAGGTTTTTCTGTTTCAATTTGTACAAATATTGAAATTGAATCTAATAAAAAATATGATTTAAAAATTTTGTAAGAAACAGAAAAAATATTTTTTTTTATCATTGTTTTTGTTTTTTCTTTAAAAAAAAGATTTCAACCAGATTATACATCAGATGAAATAAATGAAACATTAATATTAAATACAAATATTGGTCTTATGACATTTCCAATTATTGTTCAAATTCCACAACGTGTTTTATTGTCATGTTATAAAACAATTCCACGTCCATCATGGGAATTACGAACATATGGTTTATGTTTTTGTTCATTTTTTCTTTTTATTATACTTATTTTTACCACAGCTATTTATGAAGCTCGAAGATTATTTGATAATGTAAATCAAAAAAGAATTTTTTTTTTTTTTAAATTTAAATTTTATTCTTTATTAATCATAGTATTTATCTCGAGCAGAATGGCGTGATCGTATGCAAATGACAGATAATAAAATCTTTGATCTTAGTGATTTATCATTAGCTGTACAAGATGAACAAAAAACTCGGTAAAATATTTCTAAAAACTAAAAAAAAATCAACTTTTGTTTTTTTTTATATTAGTGAACGACTTGAATCGAATCCGATAACAGATATGAAAAAAGAAAAAAATGAAAGTAAACGTAAACGTTCAAATGCATCAAATCATGAAAATGAAGATAAATCATTGAAAGTAAATAATCTTGTTTTTTTCTCGTAAATGATTTTTTGTTTTTTCAAATTTTAATTAAAGTCAATTCAAAATTCAGATGGATTAAATACAAATATTCGATCAGTAATAGATGTAAATTCTAAATCAATATCACATAAACAAAGGCGAGCAACAACATATAGTGATTCATCAAAGGTTATTTTTTAGTTTAATAATAATTAATATGAAAAAAAAAAATAAATTCTTTAGTTTTCGAAATGTCAAAATGAAATATCATCAAAAAAACAATCATTACAAAGACGAAAATCAGATCAACATACATTAATAGATTCACGTAAAATTACTTCATCAACGACTGTATCTGAAGAAGAAATTGAACCATTTATAGTATGTTTAAAAATAAATTCTAAAATAGAGAACAATCATAAGACTGCATTAAGTATACAAAACAATTGATAAATGAAATCAGATAGTTCATTTTCTTCACCTTTTTTTTTTGATTATAATATATAGAAAAAAACTTCAATAATTCGTTGAAATGAAAACAAATACAACTTTTAGAGGGGATTTTTTTATTTTTTGATAGTTTTTTTATAATTTTTCTGTCTTAAAATACTTTTTTTTTTTTTCTTTGATCATAGATTGCTCGATCAAAACGTACTTCAAACAAAGTAAAAGAATCATCTAATAATACGACATCTCCATCAATTATTGATAATACTATTGCAACAAAACAAAAACCTTCTGTTGATTCTCATCAACAAGACTTGTTACAATTAGATGATAACATTAATGATCAACGATGGCATAGAGTTAGTTCTAATAAAGGACAACGTAAAGGAAATACAATTCGACGAGAAATAACTGATGAAACTCAAGCAACTAATAAACCTATCAAAGTATCATCAACCAATTCTGGTAAGTATTTCTGTTTGTATATATGTGTTATATGACGAATGTTATTATTAAATTTTTTCTGTTTTTGTCTTGTCTTGTTTTGTTTGATATTGTTTTTCTATCGGCTTATTTTATAGAAAATTCAAGGAGACTGTCATCATCATCACATAAACATAGTTCTATTTCACATGAAATACCACAGTCGCATTATCATCCATCACAACATTGTTCTACTCGTAATTCATCGTCTATACCAGTTCCTATTGAAACAGAAAAAAAGAGTTTACAGGATGACATTTCTTTAATATCTACTAATCGAGAATCGACATTACGTCAGTTAGCAGAACAGTTATGGGCATCTAGACTATCGTCATCAACGACGGTATGTTCGATGTCTATACGTTCACGTTGTTCATCAGCACCAGCATCTGAACATGGTGGTGCTCAGAATGAAACAATAAAAATTGATCAGAACAATGATGAAAAAGAAGATAAGATCGATTGGGATGAACCAGATGTGCCTGATGAGGGTAATTCTAGCTGCTTTTATCCCTATTATTTAGTTATTAATAACACTTGCTTTGGTGTTTGATATATATATTTATTTTAAAATATATATGTTAATGATTATATATATATATCTATTCATATTAACGCTTTCTGTTCCTTCCCAAGGTCCTTGAAAAATGAAAAATAAAGCTGTTGAAACGAACATAAAAATTGATGTCATTGATTAGAAAAAAAAAACGAAAATTTTCATAATTTAAAAAAAAATATCAAATTCATTATGTTTGCATCAATTCTTTATGTCTAATATGAAATATCTTTATTTTTCATGTCTTTAATATAATATTCATGAAAATCAGAAGTTCTGTTTTTTTTTTATTTATTTCTCAACTCTATAAAAGCCTTCGAGTTGTACATTGATAGGGAAGGACAAACTAGTTCTTGTTTTTTTTGTTTTTGTTCTTTCCATTTTTTCATTCTGTTTTTGGCGTTGATTCAAAAACAGAGATTATGTTGATTGATATGTATTTATTTTTATTTTTTTTTCATTTTTCCCTTCTTTTGCGTTCTCTATATTTGTAATTGCCCAATATCAGAGTATAAAACGTAATGTTTTATCGAAGAAAAAGCTTGAGAACATCCAGAGAGTCGAAGAAAGTGATATCAATTAACTAATCGATTATTCTTAATAACTTTAATTAAAAATTTAACTTCTTCTCTGCTATTTAATATTTTTAATTTAAAAAAAAAAAAACTATATATATTAACATGCTTAATTTAATGTCTTTTTCATCGTCAAGTGAGTTAAATAATTTCTATAAAATTATATTAATTAATTATTTATTTCAGATTTTGGTCGATATGCTTCACAAACAGAATTTTCTATGGATGAATTAAATGATATAAATGAACGAACACAAATACAACAAACTATAACAACGAATAATATTCCATCATTAATGTCATTATCAATAACACCACCAATAACAACAAAAAATAATCAAGAAAAATCAACAATTCCTACATCTATAATCAAAGAAAAGTATGATTTATTTTTGAAATTTTTAGTAAGATATATATACAATTAAAATAAAAAATCTTTCAAAATCAAATTACAAATTTATCAATAAAAACAAATACTATTGAAACTAGGGGTTTCGATAATTTATTTCTACTAGAATTTTTTTTATTATCAAAAACTCAATAGCAAACTTCTAATTTCTCACATGTTGAAAATTCTTCTAAACTTTTACTTCCCTATGAGAATAAGATCATGTGTGTAAAATTTAAAATCTATTCGTACATATTTTCTAAATACTTTGCAATAGAAAAATACTTATTCGATCTCTAAAAAAAAGAAATAAATTTATTTTCTTAAATTTTAGTATTGAACCATTACCATTTCCACAACATGGTTTAGGTCCAATTCAACGACCAACTAAACTTTCATGTTCAACAACTATACAATCATCAACATCATTTCTTACTGATTCTACTCAATCACCAAATACACCTGATGTACTTGTTCAAATAAATCGTCTTCTTGATCATTCAAATAGTGTAACAACAATAGCATCAACACCTAATGTTCCTATATCAACATTAATCAATGATATTTCAACACCAAATGTTTCATGGACACCATTTTTACCCGGAGAATGGTCATCTAAATATGATTCATCATGGCCAACAACAAATCTTCAAACTCCAAATGTTTCTATTACAAGACAAATACAAAATCCATTTTTACAACAACAACAACAACAAATAACAAATGAAGAATCATCACTTTGGTCATCAACATCATCAAATCCACGTACAACACAAAATACTTCTGAATGGCATGAAATTTTTTCATCTAATGTTCCTTCATCAACTCAAACAACAAAATCAACAGATAATTCTTGGTTAAAATTTTTACCTGTCTCTGATTCATCTCCAATTGATAGTATAACAACAAATAATAGACAAGAAAATGAAACAAATAATTCAGTAAGTTTATTTATTTTTGAAATATTAATTAATAAAAAAAAAACAAAAATCATTCTAGTTTTGGAATCTAATGAATTCTAATGAAACACAACAAAATTCATCAACATCATGGTGGCCTAAAACATCATCTAATGGAAATAATAATGATAATGATCAATCTCGATGGGATTTTGCTCGTTAAATATATTTTTTTTTGTTTCTTTGTTTTTTTTTTGATATTTTAACATCCATAAAAGAAAAACAAAAAGTTGTTAATCAAGATGAATTGTTTCTAACCGACGTTTTTTTTTGTTTAAGCTTCCATTTAATAATTAAAAATTGTCTTTATGCATAAAAACTTCTTAATAAGACAATAAAATATATTGCGCTCTTATTGTCAAAAAGAAATAAAATAGAATACAAAAACAAATATTTTATTCTAGACAAAAATGCCATCAACACATATTGAACGTTATATACGTTCTATATTTGTACAAAATATACCAGGTGGTATAATAGATGATCTTTTTCGACAAATGTTAGGTCAATTTGGAGCTTTAATTCATTTTCATATGTTTTCTGATCCAAATACAGCAAATAATACAAATGAACAAAATATACAAACACAAAGAAGTTATGCTTTTGCTGAAGTAAGTTTTTTGTCTATAACTTGAGGAAGTCGAGACGCGTCGAATAGTATTTAACAAATCTTGTTTTTATAAGATTTTGAGGAAACTAGACTGAGAATGTACTGGTAGGCGACCATCGAGTGAAATCATTGACCATTATGAGCTTTGGTATCAGCCGAAAGTGTTTGTAAAAATAATTTTCCTATATACAGTTTTGTAACGCTTTTCACGTGCTACAAGTAGGGAACTGCAAAGTGGTCCCGGCCCCGGTCCCGGTCCCGGCGGGACCGGGACTAAAAATTTTTCACATTGGTCCCGGTCAGTTTTTATGCAATATATTTTCACGTTTATTATTTTGACATAATTTAAGATCTGTAAATCAGATATTTTTATATGCTATTTCTATAAAAGTCTTTACTGATTACGAGTCTGTTTGCAAGAATCTGAGTTTTCCAATTGCACAGGTTTTTGAATAGATATAAAACAACCAACACAACACTATACGTAAGTTTAATTTGTTCATTTTTTCATGATTCTTTTATTGAAGTCTTATCAGATAATAGTAAATAGATATGTATCGCCGTTTATTTATTTATTTTTTTTGATAATCGTAATGGCTACTCAGTGTAAATAATCAATTCGATAATAGATCCGTTAGGTAGAGCAGTAGATATAAAAGAAGAGAGAAATAAGTAAATGACTGCTACGAAGTATATGAGAATTTTTAACAAAATTCAATGGTTATTTTTATTTATTCGAACTTTCAGTGAAATTTTTTCACTTTAACACTGGATATAAAAGAATTTTCGTACTGTTAACGAATCAAAATTATTCATGTCAATTTTATGTATTCATAAAAGTACACAGATCGTAAAAAAAAGTTGCTCGATTTTAGAAATGAAACCATTGTCAAAGACCGGGACCGGGACCGGGACTGGAAAAAAATTTGACCGGGACCGGGACCGGGACTAAAAAAAAATATTTGACTGGGACCGGGACCGGGACTAAAAAAAGTGATTTTGCAGTTCCCTAGCTACAAGTTCATATACTCAGTATTTCCGATCGTTCTATCCTTGATAAGAAAAAATACGACTTTTCGATGATCCACCATCGTTTTTCACTGGTAGTGGCTGTCTTTGAATTCATGAGCGTTTACCAGTAAATTCAGTATGATTCCCTCAAAATCTTATGAAAATAAGATTTATCATATACATGGTTCTTTTTAAAATTCTCAGAAATTTTTAATCTTCCTAGTAATTTATTGTGAAATTCAATTGAAAAAAAAAATTAAATATCTTTTTTTTTTTCGTCATATATCTATCTATATTTTTAGTTTGCATCGAATGAAATTGCACAAAAAGTTATTAGTAAATTAAATGGACTTGATTTAGGTGGTTTTCGACTTGTTGTTGATTTACTTTCTAATCAAGCTGAACCAATTATAAATTTATTTGAACAATTTTGTTCTACAAAAACGACAGTTACATCATCGAATAAAAATGATCCTCGTCTTGCTAATACAATACCATCACAAAGTTCTCAACCATCAGTATCATTACCTTCAACAACAACATCACCAATGGAAACAGCAAATATAACTACAGCTATGACTACAACAAATAATACTAATCCTGGTACAACTACTACTAGTAATAATAATAATAAAGAAGAACGTGAATCAATTTCAAATGCTGTTGCATCATTACCACCAGCTCAAGTTAGTTATTAAAATAAATAAAATAATTATTTATAATTTTTCTTTTTAAAATAGATGTTTGAATTAATGAAACAAATGAAACAATGTATTGAAGCAAATCCAAATGAAGCTAAAACACTTTTATCAACAAATCCTCAATTAGCATATGCTCTTTTACAAGCACAAGTTGTTATGAGAATAGTTGATCCACAAGTAGCTATGGTATTACTTAATCGTACTGATAAAGATGTTATACCAGCTCCTACTGATGTTAAAAAATCAACAACAACAACAGCACAACCAACAGCAGCTGCTACTGCTCCACTTCCACTTCCCGTTACAACTAATCCAACTGCTCCATTTCCTTTTCCAGTTATACCTGGTACTCCATTTTCAATGCCTATGATGGCTTCTAATGCTGCTACAGCTACTGCTCTTTTTCAAGCAGCACTTCTTTCAGGTGCTGGAATGTTTCCTGGCTCATTAATACCACCACCTATGCCACATGGTACACCATTTCCATCTGTTCAACAAACATTTCAACCTCAAATAAATCCATTAGCACAACCAATACGTACACCAAATCTTGATGAGAATGCTGCATTACTTTTATTACAATTAGATGATTCTCAATTAGCACAATTACCACCAGCACAAAGTATGCAAATTCGATCATTACGTGAACAAATTGCTAAAACTGGTTTATTACCTAAAATGTAGTTAAAACTTTTCTCTTTTGTGTGTTCGAATATAAATAAAGAAAAGTATAATTAACACATATTATCATTTGTGAAGAATAATCTTTAATGACAGTTGAATATTCAATTGTCATAATTAAAAAAAAAAAAACATTATTCTAATTTTATCAAGTCATTAATGATCAAAGTATAAAAATATAAATTTTTAAAATTCAAGTCATACTTATCTACCTTTCTATTTCAATGATTCTATTCAATCCTTGTTTTTTTCGATAATTGATAAAGCATATAGCGGAAAGAAAGTATATATGTGGAGCTTAAGAAATTAGTAAGAATGGAGTAGTAATATTTCTATTAATTAAACTGGGTATTATAAGTCAGGCAACTATATATAACATGTATTTATAAGATTTCTTTGAATATTATTATTTAATTTCATTAGTTTATTTTGAAGAATGAATGATATAATATATATATTGATGATTATGATAGAAATTGTCTTAGATCTAATATAAGAGTACATTCCTTACAAACTTCATTTTTCTTTTAGAATCAATATCTAATCATGTTGATAACTTTTATAAAATAGTCTTATAATATCTTTCTCAAGTGAGTGAACATATCATCATTTATTTACGTTAAATTTTTATTTTAATTTAAAACAGTACAAAGGTCATGCCCCTATTGCTATGATCAATTTAATAATTCATATTATAATATGACTATGAGGTGTTTTTTTTTTTTTTTTTGAGAAAACTTGACTTGAGAATTGTGTTAGACGTATTTCTGATGTTTTATGTGAAAGAAAAATTTATACTATTAAAATAGCAACAAAAAAAAAAAAACAAAGAGTCAAATAGAAGCATATTTATTATATTGTAACATATGTTCATAATAATTTTTATAAGAGAAAAATAAATATTTACATATGATTTTATCTACTAACTTTTTATCTTAATGACAAATTTATCACAGATATTTATTTTTTTGCTCTTTGACATTTTATTTAACGTTCAAGCTTCAACAAAAAAAAGAGAAAATAATTGCTTTTAATGTAAGAAACGCACATCTTTTTTTTTCTTTTGTCATAATTAACATTGAGAATATTTATTTCTGACATCGAAATAAAATTATATTCTTTGAAGATGTCTAATGTCAAGCACTGTAATAAAACTTCAGTATACCTTCAAGTCAAATAATCCCGTATTATATATAAGAAGATTACTAAAATAGATATTTTATTTATAAGACACCATCTTAGATGGTTTGTCATGCAATCGAGTGTTACTATTGAAAAAAGCATTGATTCGCAAGTAATTTCTTCTTTTTTTAGAATTCTATACGAATGAATAGTTCTGTTTTTTTTTTTTACGATTATTATTGAATATTTGTAATGGTATAATTAGTTTAAAAAATCTTATTAAATTCAATAATATCCTTGAATAATTAATCATCGCTTGACTTATAAATGATTTTAATGATGTAGTCAACAAACTTGAACAATATTTCTTCATTGTTTTGTTTTTTTTATATTATTCTTTAATCGTCACATCACATAAGTTTTTTTTTTTTCTTATTAATTTGTCACGACTTGTCTTCATTTTGTTTTTTTTTTCTTCTTGTGTCTCTTCTCTTATGGTTTAGTCTAAACTAGATCTTTGGTGTTTTCTTATTCTCTCTCTCTTTCTCTCTATTTTTTTTTGATAGTGATGAGTGTCAAATATTGGAAAAGAAAAAAAAAATCCTACAGGTATAGTTGTCTTTATTTTGCTTCTTTCTCACTCATTTCCTATATCTAACTTATATATATAATTTCCAGGCATGGTACACTTATGTCAATTTCTTTCTTTTTTTTCTTTCTTGTCATTTAGTATATACTTTCTTTTTTTATTTTGACACATTCTGAAGAGTAAAAAGTATCTATTTTTTTTTTTTTTTTGTTTGACTTATTATCAAAGAAAAATAACCTTTTCTTTTTTCATTTTTTTCGCTAGAATACATCTTTTGTTTTTTAACAATACATTTCCTTATCATCTATTGACGTTAATCTTCAGATTCAATCATTTGTGAATTAATTTCTTTTTTTTTTTTTTGTATATCGATTTATCTTATAAAACACGCTAAGTAAGTTGCAGATGAAAAATATTTTTATTACTAGTTGACATAAATCTCTTTTGTA